ATTTTGTTTCTAACCTTTCTGTAGCAGCTCCTCCCTGTCAACTAGCTTTCTATCCTGGTACCTCCCCATTTCTCTAGAACAAGGTTACTCTCCACCCTCCCAACTTCTGCTTACTTCTTTCACAGAACAGAATTGGCATTATTTATGGGCAAGACTTTATTCCTAGCACAGGACTAGGGAGTCTGAGGATTTTTTTTTTCTTTTCCCAAACCAAATACTCCATGAAGTATTTAGTTGAAAACAATGACTTGAGTCACTAATTTCCAAGTCATCTGTGTTTTGTTTCCTCTCCCCTCACCACACAATAGGGTAGCAGTTTAGAAATTAGGGATTTGTAATTTACCTGTGGAGATAAAAATTACATAATAATGATTTGGAAAGATTATCAAAATGTAGACATATTCTAAGACAAGGAAATGGAGGCCTAGAGAGGACAGAAGTCTGTCCGGAGTTACCCAGCACCTTTGAGCAGAAGTTGGATATAAGAGTCTCACTCTGGGAGTCTGGCTGGAGTCCTCACCTTGCACGTGCCAGGATCCCATGTGGGCCCCTGTTCTAATCCTGGCAGCTCCATTTCTCATCCAGTTCCCTGCTTGTGGCCTGGGAAAGCAGTCAAGGACAGCCCAAAGCCTTGGGACCCTGCACTTGCGTGGGACACCCAGAGTAAGCTCCTGGATCCTGGCTTTGGATTGGCTCAGCTTAGGAGTGGCAGTCACTTGGGGTGTGAATCATCAGACAGAAGATCTTCCTCTCCATGTTTCTGACTTTCCAATAAAAAGAAAAAAAAAAGAAAAGAAAAAAGAAAGAAAGAAAACAACTCTTAAAAAAAAAAAAGGATCTGACCCAGGGCTGTTTCCCTGATCTCAGGAAGACAACTCAGTCTCAGAAGCCAAATAGCATTCAGCTGTGTGCATTTAATTCTTGAGTGTGTTGCCAGCAAAGGTCCCACAGGAAAGAGCACAGGCATGGAGCAAGGGAGGCAGGTGGCTACTGCATATCTAAATCACATTATCTCAGCTACTCTGGTATGTTCTATCCACAGTTTACTCCCATGTCAATGGCTCACATATACAAATAATCTAAGTACAATGTTGATATTATGGCAGGCAGTTTTCACATACTTAAATAAAATTCTTTGAAGCACCCGTTAAAGATAAAACACTAAAAGGAAATCTTGTTCTAACAAAAAAAAAATCAATTAAAAGTCCTACATTCCTAGAAAAACCAGGAATATACTGAGGATAATATAACTGAGGATAATAAACTCAGGATACAATGAGGTTGGGGAGGGTTGGAGAGGGAAAAGAGAGAAGAGACAGCTGTAAAAGGTAAAGATACAAACAAAAATGATCAACGTCATGTTGCTGATCTATACCAATGTTAACTGCACAAGAAAAACTATTCAGCATGATGACTTGCTCCGTGTCAATTGTTTTCTGTAGTCTCCTATCACCCTTACCTTTAATTTGTTATCACAAAGATTTTAAATAGCTCATAAATGTTAAGAGAACATGAGTAATAAACCTGAAAATTATATTTGACTGAAATGACTCACTGAGAGAAGCTTAGCAGAGGAAGAGGAAAATGTATCTAAACCATTTTCATACTCTGGAAAGGAAGAAATGCAGCAGAATTCAAACCTTTACCAAGAAACTTGGCTGTAAATAATTGTCCTCACACTCACCTTTGAAGTCAGAAATATTCCGCCAGACTATCACAGACTTCAGTCTCTTCCCATCCCACTGACAGATCACAAAAATAAATTCTTATTCATTTCTTCTTTGTGTTATCCTGCCAAAAATATATACCCAGTGATAATGTTCACCAATGATTCATTATATCCCATCATAATAAGGTTTTCAGTACAAATGCCATTTTAAATGCACCTCTTCTGTTTCATGAAAGCTTAACAGGCATTTAATAGCAACGATGGTGCTAAATGAGTCTTACCATATCATACCATTCAAATATGTTTCTGCAGGGACAGAAGCAAAGGCATCAGCTCCTAGAATCTTCTTCCCTGTTCTCATTTCCTCAGCAATTGGCTGAGCTGAGGTTCATTTGAAAGCAAAAATAGTTGGGTGTAACTATTATCATGTTTCTCTTTTTCTTGACTGTTACCCAGTCATGGCCTTGTCTCTACTAACTTTTCCAAACTAGTTTCCATTTTTTTTTTCCATTATATTAGTGGTAGTCAATGCCATTTGGCTCCACCACCCCAGTTCACTTTTGTGATTAAGCCTATTTTACCTCTGACGAGGTCATCTTTTTTTTTTTCTTTCTTTCTTTCTTATTAGAGAGTCACCAGGAGTTTTACTCTAATTGTGACGAGTGCTTGAATTCCATGCAAGTGACATTGGGCACCAGTCCATGCTTCCAACATGGCACTGGTAACAGTGGAGTAGTTCACCATGATCACCTCCATACAATTAGAAGCTCTCTGATGGAACTTTGTATGTCCAACCCCTATAATAAGCCTAGCACTTAAGAGGTTTCCTTTGGCTTTCAATAAATGCTTATAGAATAAATTAACAGAAGTGCTTATTGTAAGAGAAGTATGCAGAGGAGGTGAAAAAGATACTTCTAAAGTCCTTTCAACTCCGTTTTCATTTGAAGATGTTACTTCTGTACACTTGTATGTAAATCATCTGTTCATGACTCATAGACCCATAATTTCAAGCACTTCACAACCCAAGCATAGACCAAACTGCCCAATTGCCTATGATAGAGCCTCACTTACTAGCTGAGTTCACATCTCAAACTTACTACACTTATTTCTTGAGTACGGAGAAGCCCACTGGAAACTGGAAATACTGTAAGCTGAAAATGCTTCAGCCTTAACCTTAACCTTAAGCCTTAATCTTCCAAACATCCCAGTTCAACAACACAGCACATCATCAGCTATTATTTGCTCACCCTGTGATGTTGTGGCTAATTGGGAACTACCCATCCAGTATCACCACAGAGCATTATTCTTATTTCTTTAATATTCATTTTTATTGGAGAGCCAGATCAGATTCATGGAGAGAAGAGACAGAAAGACCTCCTCATCTGCTGGTTCACACCCCAAATAGCTGCAATGGATAGAGCTGAGCCCATCCAACGCCAGGAGCCAGGAGCCTCCTCTAGGCCTCCCAAGTAGGTACAGGGTCCCAAGGTCCCAGGCCAACTCAGGGACCTTGCCAGTCCACAAGCAGGGAGCTGGATGGGAAGTAAAGCAGCTGGGACATGAACCAGCAGCCACACAAGATCCTGGCTCCTTCAAGGTGGTAATTTAGTCATTGAGCCATTGTACAAGGTCCCAAAGTATTATTCTGCTTTTTCCTGTCAATGTCTTAATTTTCAGTCCCTTTGCTTGAGGTTCCTTCACCTGAGTATCACCTGTATTCCTTCCATAATGGCATTAACAAAATGTCATCCTCTAAGTCTTCACGCAACCACCTCTCCTCTTGGAAGCACTCCCTGACTACCAGCCACTTGTCCCTCCAACAGCTACATAAACTTGATCTTCCAGGTTCACATTGCACAAATTCCTATCTATCTGATGTTATAAATGCCTAGAGAAGACTCCTTCCCCCTACCCACTAACCCAGGAAAAGATGCACATTCAGATTTCAGATGTACATTCACATTGAATGTATACTGCTTTTGTATCACCACCAAAGCTTAAGTTGAGCTTTTTAAGACAGACTGTTCACTCACTTTCTCCCAACCCAGAAACCCAGATGGTTATAAAACGGCCAAGGCTGGGCCAAGTCTAAGCCAGAGGCCAGAACTTCATCCTGATCTCTCCTGTGGGTAGCAGATGTTCTAAGTTCTTGGGTCATCTTCACTGCTTTTGTGGGGTCATTAACAGACCACTGGGTGGAACTGGAGCAGCTTGGACTTGATGTGATGCTTTTACTGTAATGGCTTAGCCTGTTGCATAACAACACTAGCCTCTAACTTATTTTCACACAACTTGTTGAGCTTCCTATCTCCCTGTGTTTGTTAAGGATCCACTTTCCTCTCAGCGATTCCTGTTTAGAACAGCCTGCATAGAACCTTTTTCCTCTGTAAAATCAATCACTGCTTAGTCTTGTGGAATATTCTGTCACAAAGACTGGTTCTTTTTGTTACTCCATCCTGCACTATTGCTTGTTATTCTAATTACACTGCAACTTGCACGCGTTTACATCTGTCCAATTCTAGATATGGTACGATTTCTGATTTACAGCTGTAATTTCTGGGACTCTGACGCAGTTAGCAGACTCGGTCGCAGATAGCAGGTGCCCAAAAGCTCTGCAGAGGAATCTGACTGCACGTTCGGATATTCCATTTAGCTTGTCTTTGGAGGAATGGGTCTTGTTTTTCAGAGCCCCTACTCTTCCCCACCCCCAGTATAATAAAGGACTTAAGAAATGCGTATTTTAGAGGTTGAACATGTTAGCAATCGTAGCTCAGCGTTGCTGCAACGACTTGCAGCTAGTTTTAATAAAGAACACGTTCTCCTGTTAAAAGAAAGTCCCTTAGACTCAGCTCCAGCTAACACCATCCAGAATCCAGGTTTCTCACCACTTCCAGTGGCCTGATGAGCAGCGGGGGAGGAGCTACGAGCTAGCTGGGGTTGGAGTGATGGGAACGTGGGATGAGGGAAGTCCCGGAAGTCATTGACCAGAGCGGGCAGCGGCCTCTGCGCGATCATTCCGGGCTGAGGTCCCAACAATAACAGGGGCGCAGGCAGGGCGGGGGGCCTCTGGGGACCCGAGCTTGGGGGCGGGCCCCAGATTGGGGAAGGCGGGTGGGACGCTGCTGAAGACCGACTGGGATTGGATAGTGCTGATAAGGGGCGGTGGAGCTCACCGAGTGGGCTGGGAGTTAACGGGTCGACCGAGGAAAGAACGTGCTGATTGGGTAATGCGGAAAGAGACGGACCGGAGCTGACCGTGAATTGGCTGTGGTGCTCGGGAGGCGTGACCGGCGCGCGCGAGAGGGAGCGCGAGGGAGCGAGCGGCCCGCGGGCCTGCCAGCTAGCCAGAGCCGCGGACGAGCGCGGAGACGCGGGTCCGAGGGAGGAGCGCGGCGCGGGACGCGCGTCTGCCAGCTCCGGGTGGCCGTCCTCCGCGGCTCGAGCACCTCGCCTCCTTCCCTCCCCTCCCCGGCGCTCCGGCCTGGCGTCTCGGGGCGGGGAGCGGAGGGAAGGGACGAAAGAAGAGGAGGAGTAGGAGGAGGTGAAAGCGAGGTGAGGGGCCGAGGGGTCCCGGCGCGGGGCGAGGCGCGCGTTGCCTTGGACTCTCCCGCCTCCTGGCCGCCACCGCCTGCCCGGGCGCGCGGGGCTCCGGGGGCGCCCGCAGTATGCAGCGGGACCGTCAGCTGCCGCGATGGCGAGCCGGTCGGTAGTGAGAGCCGGGCGAAGCCCGCCGTGTTCCCGAGTCCGGGCCGCGGCCGCCGTCCCCGCCCGGGCTGCGCTCCCCCTCTACTGCTCCCTCCCTCTGCGCTCCAACTCCTCCTCCTCCATGCCTGTGTTCCTCCTGCTCTTACTTATTTTCCTGCTGCTCGAGGACGCCGGCGCCCAGCTAGGTGAGTAGTCACGGGGAGTGCGCGGTGCACGGAGCTTGGGGGCGCTTGGGGGCGACGGGCACCTCCTCTGGGTTCCCCGTCTTAGGGGTCTTTAAATGAAATCTACCGACGCTAAGGCCGGGTGCGCTGCGCTCCCGGTTTGGTCAGACCTGGCCGGGCACTCGCAAGGTTGAGTTACAGAAGGAGGGCTCTGCCTGCTTCATAAGTTAGCGCGGTTTTACTTTGTTGCCAAGGCTTTTTCATTTTTCTGTGTCTTGAGCCTCTGCTGTGAAAACCCGGTTTTGACATTGTATCATTCTGTGTAAACTTGGGGGTTGGGGGGAAAGAGCGTTTGGAGGTGTAACCCCCCCAAAGTTAAGCCGGATGGAAGAAGAGGCAGGGTAGTAAGCCCGGGAAATGAACTAGCATCTTAAAACTGTGGAAGCCAAGTAGCGATAATCGCCGCCCTCTGCGAAAGAGCTCAGGTGGGAAACGGATGGAATGGGTTGTGGTGTGCTCTCCAATCACCCCTGCCTGTTGCTGGCGGTGGTGGCATCCGGCGTCAGATCCCAGGCAGCATGCTGTGTTGCCCAGTGGAGCGCTCCACATTAAAAAGGGTAAGCAGAAAGTGACAGAGTTTTTTCCATCTACAGTCCTTGAAAAAGCTATCCCAGGCAAGAAAAAACATTTGTTGCAGAATCCTCCCAATAGGGAGAGAAGAAGGTAGGACTGATTTTCCCCCTTCTTTCAGTGCTGTTTTCATCTTATCACCAAGTTTTGAATCCATGTGGCGTCAGTTACTGAACTCATTTTCCCATTACATTTCCCGTTTTATTGCAGTGAGATGATTAGCATTGGGCTGTTACATTTTGCTGTGACGATTTTTAAAATTGATTTCTGCATTTCAGTAGAGATTGCTGTTACTTTCACATAGTTTTTAGTATAGAATCTGTCATTAGAAGATGTTGAAACTTGGGCAGGTGTATGGGGATGTAATCTCTAAGGAAAAGTGGTAGGCTGACCTAGAGACATGTAGTGTAATTTAAAAATTAGATACTAGCTCTAAGGTTTTTCACAGCACTAGAACAGTGTGAAATTCATTCTGTTGAGGTTTTCAGTCAGTGCATTTCCTTCCTGGTGATACAAAACAGGTTTAAAGAGTGTGGAGCTATCACTTCCCAGTGCTTATTTTGTGGGAAGCTCAGGACTAACTGGTTTATGTAAATTAACACCTTGAATCTTCACCACAAGCAGGTGAGATAGATGTTGTTGTTGCACTTCAGACACAAAGTGAATGCAGAAGACTGGGAGGAGCTCTGACAGGGGGGTATGGCCACACAAGCCATAGTTCGGCTTATTTGTAGGTGACAGAGTTTATATCGTGTTTACGGATGCATCTTGGAACACTATGAACTTAAAAGTTTTACCCGCTCCAGCACCCTCTGCAGGTATCTAGTAATGTGAGTTCTTTGTTTCTGGAATTTTTCAGTCAGATCAAACGTTCAGTGTTACCTTATTTTTTATAAAGATTTAGTCATCTTTGCCAAAGCATCTTATTGAACATGTGCTTCTTTTTCACAGCATCATGATCAGTGAAGATGAACGCAAATAGCTTAAAGATGTGATTGCAAGTTCCTATCTGAATAGACTGGATAATTTAATCTTACACCTCAGTGTCCTGCGCTGCTGATATGAGAATTCGTAACACTCCATGGCTTAGTGACAGGGAAATGATAGTGCAGAGGAGTTTAGGAAAAGGAGGTGCATCATACAGTTATAAGTGATTATTAATGAGCTTAACAAGCATATAAATTATGGACTAATTATACATCATTTACAGACTCAAACATGATGTGGACATGGATTTCAGAAGTTTTAAAAATTGTCTTTCTTACTCAAAAGATCCTAATGCAGGCAATGTTGCAAATCTTTCTTAAAATTTTAAAAAATACATATTATTTATTTGAAAGTGGAGACAGAAACAGATCCTGCATCTGGTGGTTCACTCCCCAATGTCTCCATCAGCTGGAGTTGGGCCAGGCCAAAGCTGGGGTCCAGGAGCTCAGTCTGGGCCTCTGACCTTGGAGGAGGAACCCGGTACTGCAGTCATTGCTATCCTCTTAGGGCACCTGTTAGCAGGAAGCTGGAGTGCAGAGCAGAGCTAGGCTGGGATGGAGGCGCTCTGGGAGGGGCGCAGGCATTCCAACCCGGAATTGCACCACTGTGCCAAATGCATGCCTGTCTCCTACCCTTACATTGTTCTCTTTTTACATTCATTGAAATTCTATGTAAGATAGTCTAACCAGTCTAACATATAATTCAGGATCTACTGCTTTTAACCTCACAGAACGTGGCAAGAAGCGTTTTTAAAATGAGAGTTCTTCCTATAGTTCTCAGGAATGAGAATGTCCACATGTTGTAATGTTGAGTTACAGGCAGAATTTTGAAATCTGTAAGAAGTTTTAGGAGGAAGACTGGAAGGAAATATTGGAGGTGAACAGATGTTGTCTTTTGGTGGTGGAATTGTGAGCGATTTCTTTGTCCTTTTTTCAGATTTTCAATTTGCATGTAATCCGAATTAAAACTGGGACTGAAAGGTTTTTAAAAGACTTTTTTTTTTCCCCTCAGTTGATCTGGGTGGAAATGCATTTAATATGCTAAGGTAGAACTGTGCTATTTAAAGAAGTTGTCAGACATTACTTTAAAATAGGATATATTATCTTCGTTCCAATTAATGCCATATATAGTTATTTCTCAGCAGGCTTTTTGCTGACAGTGAATTTTCTTTTTATTTAGTGCAGAATAAAATTTATCGTTGGCTTAAGCCTACTGATTTTTCATGGTAGAGAACCAGTCTTATTTCATTTAGAGACTTATTAGTGGGTACTGTTTCTATTTACAATGTTAGTGTTATAGATATGACATATTTGGATGTTTCTGACTTTTTAGTATTTAAAAGCTAATTTCAGATAATTTGTATTGAAAAATATACTTTTATCACAACCCACAATAAAATGTACATCTTTCCAAAAATCTTAAATTGATGAAGCTTATGCAAGTTACTTCTGTGTATTGCAGTGGGTTGCCTTAATAGGCATTTGATAATCTGCTATAATATAATTAGTTTCTCCAGTTTACATTGTGTGTGTCAGAATTTGAATCACTTCTTCTCAGGAGCTCAGCGTCCTGATTTATATCTTACAGCTTGCCCAACTTCTGGATAGAAAGTTATTCCAACATGGTGGCTGTCAGGAAATCAATGTTAAAAATCTATTACAACTGATTCTGTGTTTATTGTGGTATGTTTTTGAAGGCATTAATTATTGCTAATTTATTTTATGCAATGAATCATGCTTGTTCTTGAAAAGTCATTTAGATCCACCAAATTGAGCGTTGTATGTGAGATAATTTATATTCTATAAAGTATTACCTTTGTTCGTGGTGCAGCGGAAGATGACTTGAAAGATATTTGTGAATTGTCAGAAATGAGCTAATTTCTGTATGCAGAGAAGCAATTGAAATAATTTTCAATGTGTACAGGTTATGATTTAGAATTTCTATGGTCTTTTCTTGGACTGGTGAAATATGAGGGCTCGTATATGTAGTTTTGTTGAGGGAAAAAAGGCACCCTTTTCTGTGTATTTCTAGTTTTGTACAATGAAAAGTAGAAACATAGCTTACATTCTGTGTGTGCTGATGATCAGATTTTAAATCCACGTTTTAAAAACTTGTAAATGGGCCTGGCGCGATGGTGCAGTGGTTAAGGTCCTCACCTTGCACACCCGGGATCCCATATGGGTGCCGGTTCTAATCCCGGCAGCCCCACTTCCTATCCAGCTCCCTGCTTGTGGCACGGAAAAGCAGTCAAGGACAGCCCAAAGCTTTGAGACCCTGCACCCGTGTGGGAGACCCGGAAGAGGCTCCTGGCTTTGGATTGGCTCAGCTCCAGCCGTTGCAGCCGCCTGGGGAGTGAATCATCAGACAGAAGATCTTCCTCTCTGTATATCTGCCTTTCCAGTAAAATAAATAAATAAATAAAAATTAAAAAACTTGTAAATGAGAAATTGTAAAATTATAGATTAATTAATTTTAAGGTAGATTTCTCATTGTTATGAGTAAGAAGAAGACCTTTCTGTCTGGAGGTAGTTGATCATTCTGTTTGAACAAGGGCATAAGAAAGTAAAATCTGATGGGGAGGCTTTGGCATGATGGTTATGGTACCACTTGATGTGTCCGTGCCTTGTATTAAGTGCCTTGGCTTGGAGTCCAAGCCGCACTCCAATTCCATCTTTCTGCTCATGCACACAGGAGGAAGGACATGATGGCCTAAGTGAATTAGTTTCCAATATGAAATTACCAAATTGTGTGGTAAAAATAGATTTACATCAAGGTAGAAGTTAAATTTAGCACTTCATCCAAATGACTATTGCATGTGAAAGCTCAGGTGGTAATGGGGCATTATTTCAATGAAGACAAACAATTTCTACTTGACCTTAATTATATTTACAGGACTCATGTTTGATCAGCAATGGACCACATATATGACACTGGTCCCATAAGATTAATATGAAACTAAAATTCCTATGTGTTAGGGGTGTCATGGCCATTGTAACGTGTTAGCACAATGCATGGCTTTCATGTTTGCATTGATGCTGGCATCCTGTACAGCACATACAGTACATGCAGGACAGCTTACTTCACAGTGATAGTAAAGAGCTATTGGCTTGTGTGTTTACCATGGTTATTTTAGCATATACACCTGCTTAGTAATGAAGTTTACTGTGCCTGTGCCCCAGGCACAGCTTCCCAGGTTTATGTGTGCCAGGTCTTTGGGTTGGATCGAGAGGCCGCATGCAGTCATTGACCATCTGCGTTCCCACAGCTGTGATGTTGCCTCATGACATTTCTCAGACACTATAGCTGTTATTAACTGACACCTGACTCTAGTTGAAGGCTGTGAGAACAATGACATATGGTTAGAAGGATTACGAGAAGCTTCATGAAGATGGTGGTTTTTCTTA